GTGGATGTTTCTTTTGAACCATAAGAATGATCTTTTAAATGCCATTTGATTTATGGCAGAACAGTATTGTTACCCATGATTTTTGATTCCTTATGCAAAGAGAGATAAGAGATAACACACTATTTACTTTAACATCAGATTCTGCATGTTTGCTGGTTGGAATATAGAAGAGAAGAAATTGGTAATGCAAAAGAGATGATTAACTGCAACAAAGAATGTGAGTGGGCAATAAGGAAGGCAGGAAGATCATGAACTGGGGATTTGTGGTCCTAACACACAGCTACCAAATTCTTTGATACCAGTGAGAGATGGGCCTAGGACTCCCCTGTCTCTCTGTTTCCATCTTTGTCTCTGTCTCTGTCTATCTCTGTCTCTCTCTGTCTCTCTGTCTGTCTCTCTTTCTTTCTCTCTCTCTCTCTTACACACACACACACACACACACACACACACACCATGCCTCACTATGCAGTTTAGGGTGACCTTGAGCTCACTTTATGGCCCAAATTGGTTTCAAACTCTCAATGATCGTTCTGCCTCAGCCTTCCCAGTGCTGGGATTACAAGTGTACACCACCACACCCAATTTAGGATTCCTCTCTTGAACCTGCTCAGGGTATGAATCCTGTGACCAATACATATAGAAGAAATGGCCAGGCATGGTAGCATACACGTGTAATCCCTGCATTGGGAGGGCTGAGGCAAGAGGATCATTGCAAGTTTGAGATCAGAGTAAGCTGCAAAGTGAGCTCAAGGCCAGCCTGAACTGCATAATGCGACCTTGTCTTAAAAAGACAAAAAAATGGCAGAAATGATAGGATATGACTTTATTTATTATTATTAATTATTTATTATTTTATTATTATTTTGGTATTGGGGATTGAACTTGGGATCTTGCACCTGCCAGGCAGGCGCTTGTGCCACTGAGTTATGCCCTCAGCCTGATACCTCATAGTTTTGAAGGAGAGGTCAGAAGAGGTCATGGAGCTTCCAGCTGGCCCCAAACTACCCTGAGCCCACAAGTTGGGGAGATCACTTCAGGCACTGCTCCTAGAAGACATATTTTGAACAAGCCATTGCAGGAACACAGTCCAGATCACCTTGATTATACCCAAGGAGAGACCTCAAACTGTGAACTAAGTAAGTTGGCATTACTAAATGCCCACCAAATTTGAGGATAATTTGTTACAAACCATTGGCACATGGTACATATTTCTTGTGGAGTGAAAGAATCATGGGTATTGTAATACAACAAGAGCGAGAAAGCCAAGAGATTTATGCTCACAGAATCAAGTACTTAAAATAAAGGTTCAGAAGGTAGTGAAGTTATTGGTTATGACAACATCTCCAAAATGGTATGACTCTAATTTTTTGTGGTGTTGGTTATTTAATCCAAGACCTTTTGCATGTCAGACAACTACCCCACCACAGAGATATATCACAAGCCCACTTTTGCAGATATATATTTGGTACCTAGTATAGAACTCAGGACCTTGCACTTGCCAGGCAGGCATTTAAGCCACCATACTATCCCCCGGACTCTTAATTTTTCATTTTTAGTAACTATTTCTGTTTGCAGCTTTATCCATTGGCATTTTATTTTGTTTTTGATTTCTGTGAAATATGAGTAAAATAAAAGACTGATAGTTTGCAATTATTTGTTTCTTACCTGTGAGAAAATTGTTAGACAATATCCTGTGTCTTCATCAGAATTGCTGTGGTCAGGATTGTTGAAGATGTATTACTATCCCAACTCTCCCCTGTAAGTCAAATCAATTTGGTTCTTTGTGCTAATGGTGCAACCAGTGATGGGAGAGAGAGAGAGAGAGAGAGAGAGAGAGAGAGAGAGAGAGAGAGAGAGAGAGAATTAAAATAGAACGTCCTTCAATCTCCAGCACTGCCTCCAAAATGCCTAAGAAACACACACACACACACACACACACACACACACACACACACACACACAGGAAAGGAAAATGAATCTGGAAGGACAGACAGTAGGGAAGGCATCAGGAAAACTAGCAGTGCCTGTGGCCCACAAAGGGAGGGAAGAAAGAATTTCTTGGGAGGATCTCTCAGGTTCCTGCAGATCTCAGTGCTGCCATCTGTCCAAGGTGCTCTCAGGGTGACTGTGAATTTGATAAAATGCGCATGATATAAGGAACATAAACTCCCTCGGGAAAGAGAGTACTTCCCACTACTACATCCCTGAGCTAGGCAGAGTGGTCTTTGAGGGGCTTAGAGAAGGTAAGCCCAGGGTGATGACCAGAAGTGTGAACACTGGGTGATCAAGAGGAAGTCTTCTGCCTGGGTCTTCACCCTGGAGCTTTCCAAGGGTCATGTACTCTCGTATGACCATTGTGCTGATGAAGAAATGGAGGTCCTGCTTGGTTGAGCAACTATCTCTCGGTCAGAAATTTGGTAGCAAAGTAAAGATTGATACTACAGTCTCTCAGACCCCAAGGGTGGTGGCCCTCAACCTGTGTTCTGGGGTAATATGGGAGCTTCTGTATCCTCATCTAATGCTGTTTTTACTCCTCCTGGAGTCAGGGGGTGAGCATCTGATCATGTTTGGGGAGCATGTGGGACAACTTGTTGGTGGTGACTTCTAAGGTTGATCCAGCTCTAAAGGAAGTGAATCTTGGGGGCTCTATATGAAGAAGTCTTAGAGTTGAATGAGTCACCAGCTATTTACTGATCAGAAGTTAAGGCATGGCTGACCAGGGGTGTTGGATGGATCATTTAGGTGGATGTCCAGGGTACCAGCTTGATCATGAGTCTCAGTACCAAAAGGAAACCTGGCAAGTTGGGATCCAAACCCATTACATATTATGTGAAGACATTAGGCATATTATATGGAAAATCAGAGTGTGGTTAATATATCTTCAGACATTTTGAGACTCAAGTACAGGGAATGTTTGTGGTGCTCCTCACATTTAAAAAGTATGATGAAAAGGGCCTGATGCTCGAGACTTATGAGAGCCCCACAGCCCTCTTGTTCATACATTTTTTCCTTTACTCACATATTTGCCGGGCCCTTACCATATCAGGCCCTGCCCTTGAACCTTGGCGGTTTAAAGAGAAAAGGCAGCACCTCTGCCTCTGTCAACCCCTCACCATCTTGGAAGGAAACAAACTAACAATGACATTCCTTTAAAATGCTGTAATGAGATAAAATAGAAGCCATGACTGAGGCACATAAGATGGCAAGACCAATAGGATCCCAGTCACAGACCCTCTCTGTTGGAAAGATTGCCACCCAAAGAATGGCAGTATTCTAGCTACATGAGCTCCTTCTGCACTGTCCTTTCTAGTCACTGATCACTCAAGTGCTTCATCCTGGACATTTTTTATTTTAAAGAGGAAAAAAATAAAACAATGATATAGAACTTCAAAACAAGATAATTGGACATTAACAATAGTTAATATATTGTGTATTGTTATCTTTAAAGCAATTGCTCAGATTGCAAAAAATATAGGCATGCAAGATTGATCAAACAATATAAGCACAAACCATTCCCTTCCGTGACCTAAAAGAACTCTTAGCTATGTTGTGTATATATATTTGTGTACATATATTTTCTTTTCTCTTCTTTCTTTCCTATCCCCCATCCCAGTTTTTCCAGAGGACATTTGGACACAAACTTCAGGACATATAATTTTCATTCTAGGAAAAAAGAGAACATTTTATTGCACTGTAACTGAAACTCAGCCAGAGCTTCCCTAGTTTTTCCCTTCCCATTCATCCATATCATCTCTGATCTGCAATTTCAATCATAACTCCCCGCAGAGTTCCTTACCAGACCAGAACACATATATAACCTAAACAGAGCCAGTAACATAGTCTCAAAAAACTTTCCAGGCCAGAATATAGCTCAAGACTTAAGCGCCTGCCTGGCAAATGCAAGGTTCTGAGTTTGATTCCTGGTATCACAAAAAACAAACAAACGAAGAAGCAAACAAAGCACTGTTTCCGTTGAACAAGCATAGCCTCAGGTTTACAAATTCTCCCTTGTGTGCCAACACTTCCATCCAGTCTCTAGTCTTTATTGTGCCCTGGAAGTTCAGCTGGAGCCCCTAGCTGGCCAACCCTGAGTCTGGACATGATCAGCATCCTTCGGACAGATGCCCTGTCCAGTCCTTATCATCTGCCAGGATCAGCATGTTTCGGGGAGACATCTTCGCTGGCAACATTCCTACTAGGGATAGCTCTGTCGTGCGCCCCCCCCCCCCATCAGCACCCTTGAGTGCATAGCTCCGACCAGGGGCGGACAGTTCTAACTCAGCTAGATCAGCACCCGAGGACGGACAGCTCCAACCGTTCCGATCAGCACCCGAAAGTGGACAGCTCCCGCAACAGGGGCGCAGCGCAGACCCCAGCTCTGCTACTCGAATTTCCCCGGGCGGTCTCGCAGCTTCTAGGATCGCACCCACCCCTTAGCGAGCGCCCCTGGCCAAGACTGCGCACCGCAGCTCCTCCGAGGTGCGCAGGACCCGCCGGCGCCTTCCCCTGGCTCGCGGTTTAAGTCCTTCGCCCCACCGCGCCTCTCCTGCTGACCCTGAGTCCGTGAGCTGCACCTTCCATCATCTCTGCTTACCTGCCCCTCGCCCCGAAACCAACCGAGTGAAGGACACGCGAGTGCCGCGGCCAGCCCTCCCCTCCGCAGCTCCCCGGTCCCCACCGGATCTCTCCGCAGCCTCCGCCCACCCCGCCCCCAGCCCCGGCCGACACCCGGATCCCAGGCTCGGCCCCCAGTCCCGGCCCCCGGCCCCCTCCCCTCCCCCCTCCTGCAGGCCCCGCCCCGTGCTCGCTCCCCTCCCCTTCCCCCTGCGCTGGCCGCGGTGTCTTGGCGGGCGGACGAGGTGTGTCGCGGGCGGGCGGGCGGGCGGACGCGGGTGTCGCAGGGCGTGTCACGAGGTGAGTGGGGAGGGCGGGCTGGGCCGAGCGGGGCCGGGCCGCGGCGCTCACCCCTCCCCCCGCAGCCGCCAGCCTTTCCCGAGAAGATGGCGGATCGCGCGGAGATGTTCTCCCTCTCCACCTTCCACTCGCTGTCGCCGCCCGGATGCAGGTAGGTGCTCGCGCCCGGCCGCGCAGCCCCTGGCCTTTTGCAGCCCCCGGGGACCCAGGCTGGGGTCCTGTGGCCGGCCCGGCCACCTTTGCCCAACGCCTTTGCAGGCCCAGCCCCGCCCGCTGTGTGCTGCCGCCCAGCCACCCCCCACCCCCCAAGTTCCCTTTCGTCTGCCTCTGGCTCCAGATCCAGAGACACCCCCTCTCCATTTATCGCTGGAATGGAGCAGCACCAGCCCAGGCAGCTGACTGGTCCAGGGTGGGTCTCTGCACTGACCCTCTGGAGGGGCAACTGGCTGGCTGTGCCTCCGAGTGGCCTTTTGGCCTGGTTGGGCCTTCTCTCCCCATGGAGGCCAGGCCTGGCCCACCAGGCCCAGGCCAGAAGCGAGCTAAAAGCCCGGAGAGGTAGGGAGTTGGTGGGAGGGAGTTAGACCTCTGTATAGGGCAGAACTGGGTAACATGCAAGAGCACCCCCCACCCTGCTGCAGCTTCAGCTCCTCCTCCCACCGCTATACCATCTGGCTCCCCTGAGGCTGAGACTGGGACCCACAGGGGCCTGGCACCAGGGGGGAGGGGTGGCTCCTCTAGGCTGGTTTGAGGGGGGATGGGAAGGGACTCCTCTGGAAAGCAGAGCTTGGGGTCAAGACAAGGAGGGGTATAGGTGAGTTGGGGCCTCAGAGCTGGAAGTTCTCCCCCCAGGACCAGCTTCTAGGCTGAGAGTACAGGGCTGGTGGCTCTGACCCTGCTGTCCTCTCCAGGCCTCCCCAGGACATCAGCCTGGAGGAATTTGATGATGAAGACTTGTCTGAGATCACTGATGACTGCGGCCTGGGCCTCAGCTATGACTCGGACCACTGTGAGAAGGTGGGGGGAAAGGCTAGGCACACAGAACCTCATGGGGGGCATCTCTGGGCTCGAGCGTTTGGGGTGAGTCTGAACTCACTAAGAGGCATTGGAAATCCTCTGATTGCCCATCAGCATCTCGGCACTGGGGCCTCCTTGGCCTCTGTCCTAACACACACACACACACACACACACACACACACACACACACAGTAGTCTCGGCTCTATTCTTTGTGGAGGGAGGGGTGCCTTTGCTTCCTTAGTGTCTTCTTTGAACCACCTCCCACAGAGATCTAGCCCCTCTAGCTACCTTCTCAACCTCAGCCCTTCTAGGCCTGTCCCCACATCTGCAGTCTCCATCTGTGTCTCTTCCTCCCTTGTCTTCTGGTTCTTCTCTTCCTGTCCTTCCATGTTCATTTTCATTAATTTCGTACAACTTCCCTGGACAAGTGCTGGGGGACTTCAGGTGCTAGGAGTGGAACAGAACAGCTGCCACAGCCTAAGAGCTTGCAGCCTGGAGGGAGGGGGCAGGTAAGAGAGAAATGATTACCCAGGTGTGGTGGACTAGGCACACAAGATATGGCAAAGGGAAGGGAACCCAGCCTGGGTGAATCAGAGTCTTTCCCGAGGAAATGTCAGCCCTGAGGTTAGCTGAGCCAGGCAGATAGAGTTGGGAGCTTGTAATTGCTGGCAGATGGATTGCCTGTGCCCTAGACCCTAAAGTTTGTGCAAGGTTAGTCAGTCGATCTCTCTATATGTGCATTTATCTACTTCTTCCTGAGCCTCCACTGAGCCCTTGTTGCTGCTCCAAGGTGTGGTGCATTAGTGCACAGCGTGGATATGGCTCTGTCCTGGTGGAGTATGTCTAGTAGAGGAGACAACCAAAAACCACATACAACAATGATGAATTCTGTATTAAAATCCTGGTGGCACACACCTGTAGTCCCAACTGCTCAGGAGGCTGAGGCAGGAAGATCTTAAGTTTGAGTCAAGTAGCAAGAGCCTGTCTCAAATCTTAAAAAAAAAAAAAAAAAAAAAAAGGGGAGGAGCAGTTGGTGATACAGATCAGTGCTCCCTGGGTTCAGACCTCATACTGGGGCTGCGGGGAGTTATGAAAGAAGCAATAGCAGTATCAAATGTGATAGGGTTTTGAGGTGAGACGAGGCTACAAGGTGGGTTGAAGCCACTGAAAATGAATATCGTCTGGTCCAGGAGTTTGAGCACTTCCTAAGAAATAGTGACATCTATGTGTCTGACAGTTTTTTTTTTTTTTTTTTTTTTTTTTTTTGTACAAAAAATGGGACTCGGGACCTTGGGTATGCCAAACAGTGCTTGTGTCACTGAGCTATATCCCTGTTCCCTTCAACAAATTTTTAAAAAACATCACCATTTTGGTGGAGGGCAGAGTGGATGGAAAGGACTTTTGCTCCCTGCTTTCCCCTCTCCTTGCTTCTGAGACCCCGGGACAGCCCTGCTGTCTCCTTCTTTCCTGCAGGACAACCTTTCCTTGGGACGCTCAGAGCAGCCTCACCCCATCTGCTCCTTCCAAGACGACTTCCAGGAGTTTGAGATGATTGATGACAATGAAGAAGAGGATGAAGAGGAAGAGGAAGATGAAGAAGAGGAAGAGGAGGAGGAGGGAGATGGGGAGGACAAGCAGGGAGGAGGCCCTGGCTCAGAGGTACCTGCAGGGGAGCCCCTTGTTCCCTCACCTTCCCTGGAGGAGCCCCACAAGCACCGACCCACCACACTCCACCTGGCCACGCTGGGCGCCCAGGTGGGTCCTGACTGGTTGCATGCTGGAGCTGCTCCTGGGTCCAGCACCGGGGACCCAAGGGCACCCCTTGGAAGCCTGTCGCTCTGGAGCCCTCAGTGGTGACTTTCCTTCCCTGTCCCAGGACTCGCTGAACAACAATGGAGCCTTCATCTCTGCGCCCGGAGCCTCCTGGCCCCAGACTGTGCTTCGCTCTCCCGCCTTGGAGCCCCCTAGAGGTAAGGGGGCACTTGCGGAACCAGCAGGGCGGCTGGAAGGCGGTCAGGCCTGCTAGGTGATTGCTCTCCTCCCCACAGAGAACCCCAGGCCCCTCCTGCTCGCAGGAGAGGCGGCCCGAGAGGCACAGGAGCTGCCCCCCGGTTGCGACTGCGAGGGGAACCCGGCCCCAGCGCCGCCAGCGCCGGGCGGGGCCTCGCCCTCCTCAGACCCCGGGATCGAGGCCGACCTGAGGAGCCGCTCCAGTGGGGGCCCCGGTGGCCGGCGCAGCAGCCAGGAGCTGTCGTCGCCAGGCTCAGACTCTGAGGACGCAGGCGCGCGCCTGGGCCGCATGATCTCGTCCATCTCGGAGACCGAGCTGGAGCTGAGCAGCGATGGCGGCAGCAGCAGCAGTGGCCGCTCCTCGCACCTCACCAACTCTATCGAGGAGGCCTCGTCGCCCGCCTCTGAGCCCGAGCCGGAGCCCGAGCCCCCACGCCGCCCGGCCTTCCTGCCCGTGGGCCCCGACGACACCAACAGCGAGTACGAGTCTGGGTCCGAGTCCGAGCCTGACCTCAGCGAGGACGCCGACTCGCCCTGGCTGCTCAGCAACCTGGTGAGCCGCATGATCTCCGAGGGCTCCTCGCCCATCCGCTGCCCCGGCCAGTGCCTGTCCCCTGCGCCGCGCCTGCCCACAGGCCCCGAGCCGCCGCCAGCCATGCACTCGCAGGACCCCGAGGTGCCTGCTGGGCCCGGAGTGGAGCTGGTGGACATGGAGACGCTGTGTGCGCCGCCGCCACCCGCACCCGCAGCCCCGAGGCCGGGCCCTGCACAGCCTGGGCCATGCCTGTTTCTTAGCAACCCCACCTGCGACACCATCACACCGCTGTGGGCTGCATCTGGCCGCCCAGCTCGCCCTGGCCGCGCCTGCTCAGCTGCCTGTTCGGAGGAAGAGGACGAGGAGGAGGATGAGGAGGAGGCCGAGGACAGTGTGGGTCCCCTGGGGGGCCGGGCCCCGGGCTCCACTGCGCCACTGGACGCCTCATTGGTTTATGATGCGGTCAAGTACACGCTGGTGGTGGACGAGCACACGCAACTGGAGCTGGTGAGCCTGCGTCGGTGTGCCGGCCTGGGTGAGGACAGCGAGGACAGCAGCGGGGAGGCCAGCGAGGAGGAGGCCAGTGCCGGAATGCTAGGCTGCGAGCAGGGCCCAGCTGATGCCTCTCCAGACAGCCCTGACCTCACTTTTTCCAAGAAGTTCCTCAATGTGTTTGTCAACAGCACCTCTCGATCCTCCAGTGAGTGGGAGGTGGGAACAAAAAGGGTTCCGGGTCTCACGTGGCTCCAAAGTGCATGGCATACTGACAGTCTGGGGTGGTCAGGGCTAGGCACCACCCTCTGTCCGGGAGATGGGCCTTGGCTTCCCCTGACCTCCTTTACGGGGTAGAGTGGGGCCTCTGCTGTGGACCGTACCCCACAACCGTTTGTTGGGATGGGAGAACTTGGCTGCAGTCCCAGTCAGACCTTTCATACCCTACCCCACCCTCTCCACCATCAGCTGAATCCCAGCCTTTCCCCATCTCTGTCTCTCAGGCACAGAATCCTTTGGCCTTTTTTCCTGTCTGGTCAATGGGGAGGAGAGAGAGCAGACCCACCGGGCTGTCTTCAGGTATGCTGCCCCATGCCTGGGTGACCCTGGTGTCCATCCACAGACATGGCAGGACCCTGTTAGACAGGACCAGCCAGGCCTGCTGCAGCCTTTTGATGCCTCTTGACCTCTCACCCAATCTCAGGTTCATCCCTCGACACCCAGATGAGCTGGAGCTGGACGTGGATGACCCAGTGCTGGTGGAAGCTGAAGAGGATGACTTCTGGTTCCGTGGCTTCAACATGCGCACTGGGGAGCGTGGTGTGTTTCCAGCCTTCTATGCCCATGCAGTGCCTGGCCCTGCCAAGGACCTGCTAGGTGAGGCCCTGTCCCCAAAGGACAGCTTATCCCTCCAGATGTTTCCTCCACACACCCCTGACCTGGACCCGTATGACCCCTCAGGAAGCAAGCGGAGCCCCTGCTGGGTAGAGCGATTTGATGTGCAGTTCCTGGGCTCTGTGGAGGTGCCCTGCCACCAGGGCAATGGCATCCTGTGTGCGGCTATGCAGAAGGTCAGTATGGAGGTGGTGTGGGCATAGGCTAGAGGCTGCTACAGCTCATGGTGGCTCTAAAGCCCCTGGCCTCCTCTAGGGAGGGGACAGGATGACTTGATTCACTGCTCTGATCAGAGACCTGAGCAGACAGACCTGGGACAGAGTGGAGCTGCTGTCCCTGTAACCTCCATTCTCTGGGTCAGTTTAGTAGGGACTTCTCTTTCTTCCAGTTCCCCTTCCCCTTCACCCTTCTTCCATCTGAGAATTGAAACCAACTCCCTTCCTGGGAACCATCCTACTCCCTTCTGTTCACATGGTAGCTTAGTGATGCCTGCTTATTCACCAGTCATGGGGTTGACACTGGGACCAGCAGGAAGTAGGATGGACCAACACATGAGGTGGTGGGGACTAGGCATTGAGGATCCTAGGGGCTTGGGTGTGTTCCTGTCACCTGAGCCAAGAGGAGCAGTATGGTGGAGGAACAGGAGGGGACAGACTGCTGGGTGTGGAGTGAAGCCCTACTAGCCAAGGCTGCTTCTCCTCCTCCAGTGTCATATGTCACAGTCTCCTGTGTCATGTCCTTAGGCTCTGAAAAGGTCAAGCATAGCTCCCAAGGGGCTCCGAGAGGTCCCCATAGGCCTCCAAGAACCTCTTTTAACCCCCACTTCCTCAGATCGCCACTGCCCGGAAACTGACTGTCCATCTGCGCCCTCCCGCCTCCTGTGACCTTGAGATCTCTCTGCGGGGTGTCAAGCTGAGTCTGAGTGGAGGAGGGCCTGAGGTGAGGGTGTGGGGTCCAGGGGCCTGGGAGAGGCTGAGGTGTGGGACAAGGCACCAGGGTGGTCCTGAGTGGCCCTGGCCTGTGTCTGACATGGTTGTCTCTGCCCATCTCTGCTCCAGTTCCAGCGCTGTAGCCACTTCTTTCAGATGAAGAACATCTCCTTTTGTGGCTGTCATCCCCGCAACAGCTGGTGAGAGCTTGTCCTTCCCCAGAGTCCCCACAAACCCCAAGGGTCTCCTGTGCTCCAGGTGCCCCCCTACAGTGAGAGCTCCCCACTAAGGCATCTGTGTGGACCTGGGCTCCTGGATCAGTCAGGGTGGGGACACAGATACACAGATACATGGATGCAGAAGTGCTGGCATCAGTGGGTAATGTGGAGGACATCTAGATGGGCGCTGGTGGGCTGACCTGTGGAAAGGGCAAGTTCTCCGGGAACTTGGGGGGGGGCAGAGTTCAGGAGATGGGCCAGAGATGGGTGGGGAAGTAGATCATCTTGTGTGGGACCAGCTGGACCTAAGCTATGGGGATGCACTGGTGAGGACCTCAGGCTCTGTAGGAGAACCTGGCTTTTCGACTCCATGGGGAGCTTATGCTCCATCCCATTCACGATAGAGCCACAAGAGGTTCCTCATGGGAGGGTGGCCCAGACAGGCCAACCAGCTGGCCCTGGCTGTTATGTAGTATGGGTTGACCAGGTGCAAATGAGGTGACAGGTGGCTGCAGAGATGGCCTGGAGGGATTGAGGGTGCCAATTACCTGAGTAATGGGTAGACAGTGACCCATGCAGAGAAAGAGGTTGCAGGGAGCAGTTAGGCATAGTGAGGCTGGATTGGTCATTGATCACATGCCTGTGGAGTTGAGGAGGGAGACCTGGTAACTGACAAAATGGGCAGGGAGGAGAGGAGAGAAAGGGAGGAAGAGCTGGTGAGGTGGAGCAGGGCAGGGTGTGTGCATGTGCCTATGTTCATGCACTTGCTCATGTGTGTGTAGCTTCCTCCCAAGGTGCAGACCCCTACCCTAGAGGTCCAAGCATTCTAGGTGAAGGAGCGAGGAGACAGAACCAAGTACAGGCTCGTGGGGCAGGAAGGAGCTGGAGGAAGAGGTCCTCATAGCCAGGGAAGCAGGAGATAGGATGCCACTGGACTGGAGTTGAAACAGGTGTGAGGGTGTAGGGGTCACTTGGAGTCTGTGGGGAGAACAGGAGGGCTGTTTGCTGGCTGGAAGATTGTCAGTCACAGTCTTGGATCTTCTCCATTGAGGAGAAAGAGAGTTTGCTGGGACCTTCTGCCCATGAGTGCAGGGCCCAGACCAAATGCAGTTCACATTGAGGCTGCTGCCAGGAGATTGAAAAATGGCCACCTAGCCAGGCAAGGTGGCTCATGCCTGTAATCCCAACACTCAGGAAGCTGAGGCAGAAAGACTGTTGCAAATTTGAGACCAGCCTGGGTTACAAAGTGAGCTCAAGGCCATCTTGAGCTGCATAGCGAGACCCTGTCTCAAAAAGACCAGATCAAAAAAAGAAAAAAAGAAAAGAAAAACACCCATCTGTTTGCCCTCAGAGGAAACTGATGCCCCAGGCTCAGATCTACAGGTTGGACTCTACCCAGCTGCAATTCCAGAGGAGAAAAAGATGGCCATGCTTGGTCTTCCTGATACCTGATACTGGCTCTTCCATGAGATGCACTTAGGAAGCAGACTGTTAACTTCCTGCACTGTGAAGTTGGTGGTAGATCAGGACCGTGCTCAGCACTCTGGGTCTGGATGAGGCAAGATGTGCAGTGTTAAGATTGCCCTGGGGACTCCCATGCGGCCACGGAGGGGCTGTGTGTCTTGGGTCAAGAGACTGACCTTCCCTGTGCTTAGCTTTCTGTCTGTCAGGACCCAAGGAGGCTGATGTGCACTGGGAAGCACCTGTGATGGTGCCTTCAGAATATAAGCAGCATCTAGGGTTAGTGTTGTTATAACTGTTGGGACAGGTCTTGTGATTTATTTGTGGGCAGCAGACCACAGTGTCCTGGCAGTGATACTATTGTGTGCTTCATGTTTAGTCGGGCTACAGAACCTCAAAGCCCTGAGAAAGCAGATCAGGTTTGGCACAGTTTCGGCTGGGTTCCGGCACCCTGCATGGCAGAGCTGTGCACCCCCCACCCCTGCTGGACACAGACATTAACGTGTAGGAGAAGAGGGTAGACAGACTTGGAGAAGTAAAGTGACTGGTGCAGCTGCCATGGGGACAAGGAATGGAGAGACAAGGAGAGGGACAAGGCCACAGAGGAGCCCTGAGCCAGGCAGCGCCAGCAGTTCATCACAGAAGAGCATGGAGCTGCCCTGTCACCCAGGAGTTAGAGCACTGTGCCTGAACTGGGACCTAAGCAAGCACCTTCACATCATGAGCTCATGTTAGACCCTTGGTCCCCAAGCCCTTGGTCCCTGCTGGTTGCCTCCAGATCTTTCAGGGGGTCTGCTCTGATACACTTCAACCCACATTCCCACAGCTACTTTGGCTTCATTACCAAACACCCCCTGCTGAGCCGCTTCGCCTGCCATGTCTTTGTGTCTCAGGAGTCCATGAGGCCGGTGGCGCAGAGTGTGGGGTGAGAGATGCCTGCAGGGTGGGAGGGAGTGGGGTCTCAGGAGCAACTGGTGTGCATGGGATCGCTGGGCTAGTGGGCAGGAGCGGGCCAGGGACTGAGGCAGGCCTTCCTCTTGCAGCCGTGCCTTCCTGGAGTACTACCAGGAGCACCTGGCGTATGCCTGCCCCACAGAGGACATCTACCTGGAGTAGCTGCCTGCACCTCAGCTCCCACCTCACTGCTCCAGGGCAGCTGCAGCTGGGATGTCTTGAGGCCACCACGGCTTTGGCAAGGACTGGATTGGGGGGTGTGGGGCCCCACCTCTGTGGGGGTCTCCAGGCTGAAAAATCTCATCCTCAAGCCTGAGGGCGTGGCTGTGGGGGCTGCAGAGGGTGCGCCCCTGGTGCCTGCCACTTCTCAATGCATCCTTTCTGTTGTCTTCTGTCCTGACCTTCAACTTCCCCTTTCCTCCCTCTGTCTTTTCCCTTTTCTGTGCCTGCAGACCTCGCCCTTTGCTCTCTATTTTGGGGTCAGAACTTGGGGGGATGTGGAGAAAGGTGAGGCTTGAGGTGACCCATGATGCAAGCTCCCCAGTGACCCCCTTCTGCCCTCCCCCTGTAATTTATAAAGGACTCTTAATTTTTATAGTGAATCTCAAGGGATCATCCCATCCTTGACCACAGGGACAGAGAGACACCTATCCTACAGGGAACTGGGGGAAGCAGGGAGCAGTTCCTGAGGGAGCCTTGGGGTGATTGGGAATGGTTCTCCTCGATGCCCACTGAAGCTCCCATGCTGCTAGAAGGAGGGGGCCCTACTGGACGCTGCCCCACACCATCTGCTTTGCCGCTAACACCCCTGCAGTCCAGGAAACTCTGCCCGTGTGGGCACGCTGTGTACGTGGGCCCTGCCCGTGGCCTCAATAAACTCTGCTTGGTGTGAGCCTGGCTGTTTCTGTGTGGTGCTGCTTGTGACAGAGATGGAGACCCCAGGGCAGTGGGCTGTGGGGATGGAGAGAACCCTTGGGAATCCCAAGTCGTGTTTTAAGGGAGGGGTACAGGAGGCCTCAGGTCTAGAGACTCAACAGAGGTCCCCACTTACACTTGGTGTAGAAACGGCTGAGGCCAGAAAGAGAAGAGCCTGGCCACAGCACTGAGTCCTCCCCATGTGATGGATGGGTTGGAAAACATACAGTATTAAGGTTTTAAAATTGATATTTAAAAAGTTCTGCACAAAAAGATAGACGCAGCTAAGTGACCTTTTCATTGTGCCTATACATGACTGTAGATGCCCTCTCCCCATCTGGAGCACTGATGATCCCCAAACCTGAACAGGAGTCAGCATGGCCAGGGTGCCCAAAGGTAGGCCTGTGTCCCTTGCCTGACCAGGGGGCAGCAGGACAACAGAGGAAGGCTAGGAATGAAAGAATAAGCAAGGGGAATGCTGACGATTTTCTATACAAAAACTTAAAAATAGTGTCTGAAAATCATACATTTCTTCTCAAATGTCTTGATGAGCCAACAAGCAGATGAGGATGTGACAGCCCAGGCGGATCCCAGTAAATGCACTGGTGTAGAGGGACAAATCAGGAACACATGGACTTTTGTGCATGGTGAATTTGTAGCTTATGCCCTTGCCAAAGCATCCTGTACGTACAAAGGAGGACACACGTCTACCAACACTTCTGCTTCTCGGATGATGTACCCCAAGATGACCCTTAGGGTGTTCTGAATCAGGTGTGGTACCAACCCTCAGGCTGGCCAGCTGCACATAGACATTGTCCCCAGCGTGGTCCTATGCTGGTCAGACAGGATTTCTGTTGGGAGCAGCTGAAGCTGGAAATTGGTCATATGTGGGAGGGCAGGACAAGGCCAGATTCCCTAAAGCAGTCAAGCTATCTTAGTCATGAGAAAAGGATCCTGCCTGGTCAGTGTCAGCTAGTAGTTGCTAAGCAACCTTGTGTCACCTGGTACTAACTTTGCAAAGGTAGTTTACTGTTGTTCTTTGGGTCCTTTACCAGTCAGGCAAACAGACCTCCACCTGACCTGGCTCTTGTCTTCTTGTCTTTTTCTCATTCCTGCTGCAGTTTCTCCCCAAGGTACCCAAGAAACCAATGTCCTACAGACTTTTCTGTGCCTGGCTGCCCTGTGTCCTCTCTGGGGCCCAGCCTGTTCTTCCAGCATGTTCATATGGGCAGCCTAACCTGCTGCTCTTGGGGCAGTGTTGGTTGTCCTTGGTGCCCTTCTCAGCTGCCCCTACCACCACGGTCCCTTGGCAGCTCTTGAATCTCCTGGAGCCCAGCCCCCTGCAGGTTCTCCTCAGCCTGTATCCTGGGTTCTCTCACTGGCTGCATCCATCCTGTGAAGTTGACTGGGTCGGTAGATACCGTGCTGTGTATCAACCGCTACTCCAGCTGACTGCTAAGATTATGCCCTCAACTGGGCAAGGGGCTGGTGCTCACGTGTAAGTCCATTGCAGTGGCCCAAATGGTACCACAGTCATATTGACTTTTCCCCACATACTCTATTCTTCTTGTCTGTGTTTGACATTTCTTCTCAGTCATCTGACCTGCAGACCTGGGGCAACCTCAGACTTCTCCCTCCTCTCACTCTCACCTGTACACTGTCATCCTGAAGTCTGTCTTGCACCCTCTCCCCTATTCCTTTCTGAATCAAACCACCCAAAGTTTCCTCCTGGATCTTTGCACAACAAATAGCCTTCTTGAGGGTCCCTGCCTCCATCGGTTCCTGTGAACACTCCTGCACCTGTGCCCACCTCTCATGCTCTACACCCTGTCTGATCTCAGCCTGGCCCACCCCAGTCCCACACCTCTGCTTACTTGTGCCTGAGTTTCCTGTACTGCCCTTCCCTGAATGTTGGAAGTGCTGGTAGCCCAGAGATCTGCTCCTCTGTGTTGTGATCCTGGCCTAGGCAGGTTTCACAGTCCTGTGTGATGCTTTCAACCCCACTACTCTGGCTTTTGGAAATCTAGCCATATGATACCATCTTAAATACAAAGCTTTCTACACAAAGGTGTTGTTCATCATACTGTTGTTTACAATAATGAAAGTAGGCTGCAGTTCAGTGGTAGGCCACATACCTAGCAGGTTTACTCTCCAGCCCTGCCCCCAGACACACAAAGAAGTAAAAATAATGAAAGAAGCATTAAGAGTTGAAACAACTGGCCCTTCAGTTGGCATATGCAGTGTCTGATAGGTGCTCACTAGCTTTTGCTATCAAAGAGCAAGAACCCCTCAGATCATGCTAGCCATTCTAAACACAAGGGCAAAATGCCCTGATGTGCGATTACTCAGACACCAGCTCCTTTACCCTTTCACACCTCCCAGCTTCCTCACACTTTCAACCAAGTGCAGAAGGGCACCTACTGCCTTCCCAGAAGCCTCACCAGAAGTGGAATGAGTGGTAGGCCAGAGTGTCAGGAAAGGAGGGAAGCCAGGCAGGTGCTCACTCAAGGCAGATGCCCCCTAAATGTTTCACCTGCAGGGTGGGAAAGTAGTACAGGCCTATTTGAGGCCATCTGAGATTACCCTAAAAATAACAAATTGCTTGCCCTTAACAATAATCACTAAGTGCAAGATTTGTGTCTGTTCTGGAGCTCTGGGACTTAGATACTTTTGCTAAAGAGCAGGGACTATGAACTTGGGCCTACAGATGCCCGATGGGTCACTAAAAAAACAAAGTCTGACTTTGACTTTCTTATCTTAAGGCTTTGAGCTCTGCACATAGGCATATTAGCCATTTAGGGACTGATTGTCTAAAAGCTGCCAGTACAAGGTTGAGTAGCCCTAAATTTACATAACCTGTCTCATCCCCTTCAAAGGGGATGTGAATGGGCACCCAGAAGCCTATCCTCCTTGCCCTAAACCTATGTTCATCTTGGATTTCAGTAGAACCTCTGAAAAACTAGAACTTCCCCATGCAGACACAGTCATCTCATGAAGACTGACTGCTTCCTCAAGTCATAAAGAAGAGTCATCTTGCAAAACCAGAGCTGAGGTAACATTAGAGCTCACCAAACTGGGCATGGCAGTGCATGCCTGTAATCCCAGCATTCAGGAGGTTGAGGCAGGAGAATTTCTCTAAATTGGAGGCCAGCCCAAAATGTTTACCTTTGTTCATGGGCCATCCCTTTACCCCATTAGCTCCTCAAGCTGTGGTCCCTTCCCATTTTTCTCTTACTAACTGCCTAATAAATTTGCTCATGCCCTGCATTTATGCACCCTACAATGTCAGCTTGGTAACTTAACAAGATCCTACATCAAAAAGTACAAAGGCTGAAGATATAGCTCAGCAGTAGTATGGTGTTGGGTTCAGTACTGCACAAAAGAGGACCACAAGAGGGGGAAGGGAGGAGGAGGGATGGGGAGGAAGGATATGTGTTACTTTCTCATTGCTGAGACAAAAATACCCAACACCTAAAGTTAAAGGAAGAACAGTATACTTGGCTCACAGTCTGCAGAGGTTTCGGCAGATAATCAGCTGGCTCCAAGGCAGGGTGACATGGTGGACAGACACTGCAGAAAACAGTTCGTGAGGGTCAGAAGGCAGAAAAGGTAACAAGCAAGAGATGATTTTAGTTTTTTCTGTCCCTTCCATTTTATCCAGGCTACCCAGTGCAGGCAGCAGTCACACCTGTAATCTAGTGCCCTTGAGCCTTGAATTGCACATGAATCAATTCCATTGTCATACATTTTAGATCCAGCCACCTCTGAAAAAGCCCCACTATGACTGCATGAAGTTTTGAGGAGATATCTAGACACAAACTATACTAGGTGAAGAAAAAGAAGAGGGAAGGAGAAAAGAAGGGGAAAGAAGAAAGGCACAGAGAGCAAAATCCTCAACCAGAAAACTTGAAGATCCTCTGTACAATAACCAGGGAGTCAAGCATCCTCCATACAAGAGTGAGGCTGGGGCTGGGGAGATAGCTTAGTTGAGTAAGTACATGCCTGGCAAGCAGAAGGGCCTGAGTTCAATCCCCTAGCTACATACACACACACACACACACACACACACACACACACACACACACACACACTAAATAAATAAGTGAGATTGATCGGGAAGTAAATGGCACCCCCAAAGAGAGAACAGAATGTTAGGGACTGTAACTTTAGTGCTGAACAAAGTGCACAATGCCCCTGAGGAGCAGGTGTGGCCATAGGTTTTACTGGGTTTTGGGATGCTGGAGTGTCCTTCTAGAGGTGCTTTCTAGCTTCCTTCTGTGTTGACCAAAGAACTGGTCAAGGCAAGTACAAAAAGTAGCAAGGTTTTATATTTCTTAAAGGTTGGAAAAGAAACAGGCTTTGCAGTGAGTTTAAGCCAAGAAAAAAATAGGAAAAAAAAAAAAAAAAAGACACTCTATAGCATGTGACTACTATGAAAAAACAGTAGCAAACAGCTCAAGATTGCTGTCATTTTTGTGTCACCCACTCCTCGGGTTGACATCAGTCTAGGCCATTCTATGGAAGACCTGCTCCAATTCTCATGAGAGATTCATGTACAGGGCTTTGGGGGCTGTCCTGTGGAGTGTCCTGGGAATTTATGAGAACAGGTCATACCCACTTCCCAGCTGCCTTTTGCCATGTCCTCGCTTTGCCATGGTGGGGCATGTGCAGGTGTGTGGTGTATGTGGAAAGGGAGTCTGCGTGCAGCTCAGGGCTTCTCCCAGAAGCTGAGTCCCATCTTAGAGAACTGGGGTAGAAGCCAGCATTCAGCCCGGGTGAGCCGATCTGCTGAGCTCCTGCGCACCCAGCCACCCAGGCCTCAGAACCTGAAGTCTGTCTGAGCCGATGGTCCCTCACAGGGTAAGCAGAAACACCCTCTCACACAAACAGCTTTGCAGAAAGGAAAAGGCAATGCAGAGCCACAGGTACAGTGAGGCATGCCTATAATGCCAGCACTCTGGGAGGCTGAGGCAGAAAGACTGCAATTTAAGAGCTCAGCCTGAGCAACATACTGATTTACTGAGACCTTGTCTTACAAAAAAAAAAAAATAAAAAATAGGGCAGCCCCCACAGCTGCCTGACCACGGCTAGAGCTGATGTCATGATGACTGTTTTTCCTTCTGTGCAGGTTTAGAGCAGCTAGGCTGGGAGCTGCTGCCACTTGTTTACCCCAAATGAACTCTGTGAGACTCTGCCTCAAAATGTAATTTTATTATTATTATACTATTTAAGCCTAGGGATATAGCTCAGTGGAAAGGTCCTGGGTTCAATCCCTTGGACTGGGATAAAGAAAAACAGAAGAGCAGGTGTCAACCCTACACATTGACACACTCCTTTCTTACCCTTTTGGTCACTTGTGGGAAGGGTGAGTGGAAGAAGGGGGGCTGAGGAAAGGGTAGGGAGACGTCTGCAAGAGATGCTGCCCCTCCTCTGCCAGTCACCCGAGTCCCAGAGCCTCCCTTTCTTCCCAAAGAGGACACCACACTGTTAACTGTCTATTCTAAGTGCTTCTCCAGAAGGGCTCCTTGAGGAAACTGCTCCCTGGGAATGACAGTCAACAACCAGGTAAATGGATTACTGATGCTCATAAGGAGGACTTTGTTTGTATGCTTAATCAACAGAGGACAGTGGAGTTGTGGACAGCATTCAGGTCTATAATAACAGTGTCTATAAGCCTGAATGTGTATGTGTGTGAATGCCTGTAACATGTCCCAGTGCATCGTACCTAAGTCTTCTACCATCTATCAAACTCTGTCCTATTAGAGTGCATTGGGATAAAACAGCTACGATGATGAGAAACAAGCATTTTTGCATGCAAATAACTCATAGCAAAACTGAAGGAGGAACAGGAGGGTGGAAGGATCTGCCTCCTCCTGCAGCCACAGGTGCCAAAAGTGGGTTTGAGGACCCTGTCAGATACTGATAGGGAAACATGCCCAACAGGGCCAACTGTCCACCTGTCCCCTCCATGACTATGCTTTGGTATAACATGGCACACTTTCTTTGAAGCACTTGTCACAGATTTTTATTGATGAATACACAATGATGCCATTATGAAAATCTTATGTAGCCTAGTCACTGTATTCATATGTGTCCCATGTCACCAGCCTGTAATATAGAGAACATCTGATTCCCTCCCTGTAACATGTATGATGCCTAGTTCAGCTGATCTCTTCTGCTAGGCTGGAAGCACTGTGGACGGGAAGGGGTCTCCTCAGATGCCACTTTGCCCTAGTACTGTATGGATGGTGAATGCATCTGGAGGTCAGCACTACAGTCACCACCCCAGTGAAGGGAGCTGGTACAGGGCTCTGCAGACGGTGTCTGAGCATTCGTAGTCGTTTAGTTTTGCTGGAGGAGCTGGTCTTTGGATGTGATATCTGGATCATGCGTTTGCTTCTGTTCCTCTCTAGGCTCATCAGAAACTGAGACAAACACCAAGGCATGTGGGCCTTCTCTGGGCCAGCATCACTGGCTCGTGGGGCCGTCTAAGACGCACCAGGACTTGGGTGTGGTCTGCCCTCAGCTAGAGTAGAAGTGACCTAGAATATGTGTGTGTCACACAGACACATGCACCTGCCACACAGCCAACTGAGGTCTCATTCCAGCAAGGCCACTTTTACCTGCAAGTCACAGACAGCATCCAGAGGCTTAGAAGGCAAAGTTTATTTCCTCACACTCAGTGTTCTGCAGCAGGCAGCTGGAGACCATTGGTTAGCAGCTTCACAATGTCCTGCAACGGCCAGTGACTCAGCCACAGCAAGGCCTTCACAGGGAGAACTGCCCCAACCTTTCACTCTAGGGACCAATCACGAGCTTGTGCCTAGCTCAGACTGCTCATAACCCGCCTGAATCAGGGAGAGGCTGTATGTTAGAGGTGAAAGTGCCTCTACCCACCTCTGAAAAATCTGGGGGTGCATTAGTAAGGAAGACAACAGTTCACCATGTGGACATATCAGCACAGCAGATGACACTATACCCACGTGGCCAGCACTGAGGGTCACCAGGCACGTGACAGGTCATCTGGGTATACGCTGACATCTGCGTACTAAGCTGTGCAATTGCAGACCAGTGGTCAGAAGAACCCTCTGCAGAGGAAACCAATGATAGAGGCAGAATATGGGGGTGGGGGAGGCAGTCAGCCTGCCATGCCTGCAAGGCAGTAGGGTGCCACGGCTCTGAGAGTACGCAGGCCACCGAAAGCAGTGTTATTCTGAGCATGATGGAAACCAACCAGACAGATGTCCTTAAGACATCATTTTGTCTGCTGGGCAGAAAATGGCTAGTTTTGGATCAAAGGTGAAACCAGGAGACAGGAAGTATGTACACAGACAAAATGAAGAGCCTGAGAGTGCAGACCCTGAGAGGCCGACTCAGGGCTGCTGATATGCCTTTCTAGGAGACAGCAGGGATCTCCTTGCCCCATTGCCCCACCTGGAATGGGTGACTCATTACCTGGTCCAGACAGGCTTCACCTGCATAGCCAGTTCCTGAGCCTCAGAGAATGTGTCTTCAATGCTTTTTCCAAGAAAACCTGCCTGACCTAGGCGCTGTGTATCATCACTGGTTTCTGGCGACTATGATAACTGGCCCTTGCCCCACCCTCACTTCTAAACTTACTGCTTCTGTGTGAATCCGTCCAGATGCCAGGCTGACATGTGCGCAGACTGACATGGATCACCAGGGTGGGCCAGCCACGAGGCAGGATCACTGAGCTCAAACCCTAGCACAATTTCCTCTTGGCTGGATGACTTTTGCCCTGAATTCCATGGTTGGCTTAGTTTCTTCACTTGTTAACAGAGGGGTGCAGCACTGACCTCACAGTTCCAGCAAGGAGATGAATTATCATGCCTCCAAGTCTCACCTGGTGTAATTATATTGTCAGTACAAACTGCACACCTATACCCAACCTTCACAGTGCCCACTCGATCTGCTCAGGGCCAAGGGCCTTCAGGAATGCCCTGTGGACATGGCCCTCAGGGCTGAAAGTCTGGGCAGTGGCAGCAGGCTGGATAGGGAGTGCAGCTAGGCTTGCAGCAGATCTGCAGGGCAGGGTCATCCCCCTGGGCCACCTGGCTAGGGCCGAAGGTCATGGCTGCATCAAACTGCGCCTTCAGCAGCTGGAGGTGCTTCATTGCTCCCAGCACCTCTGGAGTGACCTCAGCCTTGCCCTCCAGAAGGTTGTAGTTCTCACCAGGGTCCTCAGACAGGTCATAGAGCAGTGGGGGCTCATGAGCAGTCAGAGGGTTGTCAGCATGGCATGCAGGGTCTGGGGTGGTATCACTGAGCGTAGAGCCTGGGGAGGGGTCAGATGTATGCCCAGGGCAAAAATAGGGGCCAGGGATTGGGGGCCATTGGGGAGTTAGCAAGGCTGGGTGGGACAGCCAGGGAGAGGGAATTACCCTGGGTGAAGAAGTGAGCCTTATACTTTCCACTCCGCACGGCAAAGACCCCATGGATCTCGTCTGGAAAGGTCGGGTAGAAGAAGAGAGACTCCCGAGGGCTCTGAGGGCAGAGTTAGGGTCATGGGGCGGGAGGGGCCTTGGCTGTCACCCTCTCTGGCCCTAGGTAACCCTGAATGTCATTTATCAAAGGAGATGTGAGACACTTCAGGTACTGCCACCCTTAACCCAGGAGGACAATCTGGACCGAGGGGGTCACTAGCCCTACCTTGCCTGAGCCCAGCAGCACAGGGCTGAGGTCCACACCATCCAAGGTGACATTGGGTAAGAGGGCACCACTCAGGGCGGCCAGAGTGGGAAGCAGATCCAGGGAGCTAGCCAGCTCATGGGTCACACCTGGGGCCAGAGGGTGGCTTGTTATGCTGCTTGCAGCAAGGCTGGAAGCAGGGCCAAGAGCCCTCAAGGAGACTGACCTGGTGTGATGTGGCCTGGCCAGAAGGCCACAGCAGGCTCTCGGATCCCACCTTCAAAAGTTGTCCCTTTCCCACATCTTAGGAGGCCAGAGCATCCACCACGGGACATCCGCATAGTCTCAGGTCTGGGACATACAAGAAAGTCATCGGCAACAAGGCTCAGGGCCTTTGATTCCCTTTTGGTCACCAATAGTGCCACATTTCTCAGTCACTTGCCCTGAAATGGTCAATACATGGCTGTCCCCTCCAGCTTATCAAAATCAGCACTTCTGTGTACTTGTGGCCCCATAACCCAAGATCTAGGGTCACTGCAGGAACAGACTCTTTGTAGACTCCCTTATTCTGTAACACCATGAGGGGCCTAGGCTGCATCTAAGCAATGAGTGTGCTATGCCTGACTGGCATACCCATTGTCAGCAGTGAAGATGACCAGCGTCTCTTCCAGTAGCCCCAGGTCCCTCACAGCCATCATCAAGGATCCCACAGCTGCATCCAGCTCCATCAGGGAGTCCCCAAATGGCCCTCGGCCTGAGCACCCCACAAAGCTCTGCCCACTGAACTGAGGGTAGTGGGTGTGCTGGAGGCAGAAATAGGAGTCAGCCTTGGTAAGCAGTCACAGGCAGTAGGGAGGGCTGAACTGTGGGTACTCACATGGGAGGCGTAGTACAGGAAGAATGGACGACCCTGGCGCTGGGCATCAGCCATGAGGTCTCGGGCAAAAGCCACATAGCGAGCCTCTAGTCCTGGCAGCCAGGGGGGCTGAGCCTCTATGGAGAGATTAGCCAACAGTGGGATGGGAACCAGGTCCTGGTCACAGGTGCCATAACAGGGGGTTGCTGGTGGGAAGCAGGTCAGGTTCTGGCAGGGGCCCTGAAGGGAAAGCTCCAGTGAGGGGTTTGAGCTGTGGGATGACCTGGGGGAACTGATCACCCCGGTGGCTCATACCTGGTTATGGGAGTACGGGATGCCCAGGAATCGATGGAATCCCTGATGGGGGGGCAAAAAGGCCCCCCTCGGCCCCACTCCAAGGTGCCACTTGCCAGCTATCCCAGTGAGGTAGCCACGGGCAGCTAGGACCTCAGCCAGGGTCACCTCCTCCAGAGGCAGCCCTCCCTTAGATTTGGGCCCCAGAACTCCAGGGTACATGCCCATCCGCACGGGAAGCCGGCCAGTCAGGAGGGCAGCCCTGTAGGGACAGGTCAGGAGTCCATGAATCCAATGGAGATGAGCATGGGCAAAAGGAGAAAGGGGAGGGAGAAACAGGGACTCCCCAAAACAGGCAACACCCTCCTCCCACACTGCAGTCCTGAGTAAAGCTGGGAGCAAGTGAATCCGGGTGAGGGGCCCTCGCTTACCGGGAGGGTGTGCACAGAGACACAGGCACATAGAAGTCTGTGAACCGCAGCCCCCCTGCAGCCAGCTGGTCCAGGTTGGGGGTGGTAGAACTGGGGTGTCCGTAGGAGCCCAGGTCCCCATAGCCCAGGTCATCAGCAAAGATCAGAACAATGTTCGGTGGATTGGTAGCGGCCAGGCCTGTAGCCCAGGCTAGACAGAGGGCCCAGAGAGTCTCCATGGAACAGAATAGTCAGGCCTGTTTCCAGAGAACCTTGGGAAGGAGGGGAAACTGGCTCCATCAGGCTCTTCCCTCTTCTGGTACCCAGAGCCCAGAGCCCAAATCCCTGACCCTGACCCCATTCTTCCGGAGAACCTGGACCCCGACCCTACACTTTCCTGAGATCGTAGACCCTGGCCCTCTCTTCCAAAACCCCTGGGTCCCAGAACTCATCTGAATGCGAGCCCACTTCCCGCATCGCCAGCGAACCTTAGGGCACTGAGGCCCGCTGCGTCACTTGCCAGAGATCTGAAAGGACGAGGGCCCCTGCAGGTTGCCGCTCGGGGTTCTGCCGGCGGTCGCCCTGGTATCTGGCTCAGTCTCGAGGTCTGGGCAGCCACAACACACTGACCTACTGCTGGGGTGCGGCAGGCCTAGGGCGGCTACCGGGAGACGCGGGTAGCACCCATCGGCTCTCTCGGTTCAGTGTGCTGCAAGCGCTTATCAGCTCGAGACTCCCTGGTGCCGGACCCGGCGAGTTTGCGATGGGCGGAGCCGGCCTCGGGGAAGGTGGAAGCGCAGCTTGCTTCGGACTAGAGAACCGGGGCGGGGCCGGACCGGGTAGGGCTGTTACGTCAGCGCTGTGCCTCTTCCTGCTCCGGTCTGCGTCGGCCCGCGGGGGAGGGGGGAAGGGGGAGAGGGGGGCGGGGCTCGCTGCAGCTGCGTTGTGGGTGTGGGTGTGGGTGATGGTGGGCTTGGCCGCGTGCGGGCGGTGGTAGTGCACCTCGCCGTTGGCGCTTCCAGTTCGGGGGTCCGGTGTGGGTCCCCCTTGGGCCCGAGCTCCCGTGGGAGGGGCAGTAGGAACCCCCCCCCTCAGGTGTTGAGAGACTGGGCGCCTTGAAGAGGCCTGGGTGCCGGGAGTGTTATGGCACCCGGTGCAGGAGCAGAAGGTGAGGAAAGCCTTGTGGCTTGCTATTATAGATGCTCCTTGGGCATCCCGTCCCCCCACTTCGGGCAGCTCTCCCTAGGGTGGCCGTTCTGCAGGCATCTCCTCTGGCCATGGGTTCTCCCACAAGCTGGGAGGCCCCTTTGAGGCCTGAGTTTGCAGCTGCAAGCAGAAACACAGAAAGAACGCGGAGGAATTGGAAGCAGATGTATTTACGGAAATGAGCACTGATGGGGATCATTCCCAAAATATCAGGTCATGATCTCTGGTGATCTAGGGCTTTTGTATGGTGCACAGCAGGAGGTGCAAAGGTGAGCAGAACAGCCTGGCAGCTCTTCTGATTAGTTAGCAGGGCGAGATCATTGGTTATAAGGGTAGCTTGATGATAACAGTTTATGATGCTTACTGCAATGGTACAGCCGGGCATTTTGTATGTTTAGTTAAACTCTGGTGGTTACAGAGGTCAAGAAAGTAATTGCAAAGCCATGAAGCAGTTACAGAGCTAGGCAGTTTCAAAAGAACAAAGTTTTAAAAAGAACAAATTCTTTTGTACAGTTTTTTCCTTTCAGCCTCAGAATGAGTGAGACTTAGTACCCAGGAGGGGAGGATTTTCCCTAGTCATTATGCCTGGTGCCAGGGGGAAAATGGGCAAGAGCCTGGGAGGGCCTTGCACAGGGTAGGGACCAGGACTCAACTGTCACTGAAGCCACCTCTCGGGAGCTGGCATTTTCCAGAATAAATGTGAAAGGTTGGAGTCAAGTGGCGGTGGGGGAAAAGGTTTGAAGGTCAAGGATGCTAGGCTGGGATGGGAAAGAGGCTGGGCCAAGGCTGTTGCTCACCTGAGGAGTGCTGAGGGTGGAGAGTGGGGCCGGCAGCCGCCTGTGGCCTTGCTGTCACGTTCCAGAGTGGTTCCTGGGCCAGGGTGTGGGTGCTGGGTCCTGCTAGGACCCAAAGCTCTATGGCCCAGAAATCTTTGAACCTGTAATTGGCTCTCTCACAGCTGGTTGGCGCTGTGAACTGGAGTTTAAAAGGAATCCATGAAAAGTATTTCCTTTTTCAACTGCAAACTGGGAACTACCCCACTACCTGCCCATTATTCTTGGGAGAGCCGTGTGTCTGTGAAAGTTATGCAAATGGTGGCACTTAAGAGTCCTGGAGGCAGCTCAGGTGTGTGCTCGCATGACAGCTGCCTCGGCCCATCCCTGACCTCAGGCCTGGACAGGAGGAGCCCAGTGTGCGTGTGCTGCCAGCTAGGTATGTTCAAAGCCTAGCTCTGCAGGCTGTCCTTTATTCTAGAGATGTGAGTTCTTTTTCTGCATTGACAGAGCCCCAGTTGGAGGCAGCCCGCTGGGGTTCAGGAAGTGGCTTTGGATGCCTGAAGGATTGCTAATTTGGGACAAACGCCCACAGTAGGAAGAGGGGCTTTGCAATGAGCACCAGGTCTCTTCTTTTTGGACCTTGGACAGGGATGGGAGCAGCTTCTGCATGGGAAGGCTGTAGTGGTTGAACTGCTTCATAGGGAACCTGTGCCTCGGAGAAGGAATTTTGCAGCAGCTCCTGGGGCCAGATGACTCCCTCCCACTTTCCTGGGCCTGCTGCACAATGCGGTTGTCAGTGTGTAGGTGCTGGGATGGGTGGTGCTGGGCAGGGCCAACAGGGTGGTTCTCCTAGAGGAGGGAGCATTTCAGCTGAAAATGGAAGCCTGAGGTCTGGTGGAGATTATCCCAGTGCTAATAAGGTGGAGAGGCAGATTGTGGAGCGGCTGAAAGCACTTCTAGTGGAGGTCAGGTTTTGTCACAATCTTTGGTGTAGAAGGAAAGCTGTGAGAGCTCCTTTCAAAGTTTTATTCAGGGAAGGCACAAGAATCACCGTCAGATCCAGGCGCACACCTCTAATCCCAGCACTCTGGGAGGCTGAGGCAGAATTCCAAGTTGGAGGCCAGTTTGAGCAGTTTAGCAATTTAGTGAGACTGTCTTAAGATAGAAAGTAAAGGTCTGGGATGTAGCTCAATGCACAGGCCCTGGGCTCAAGCCCAATTTTAAAAATTGCTGTCAGACCAGACATAGAAATAGCCTCTGGTTAGAGATCATTCAACCTGTGAATGACAGTGATCTGGACAGGTGATTATTCATAAAATCTTACCAGTCACAAAATCATGTTCACAAACTTATAGAAAATGTTTGTAAGTATTTTGTCAGGGATACACCAGCTGTGTCTGGGAGGACTCTCTGGAGCAAACCCAGGCCCCAAAGTTGCTATGGATGGCAGACATCAGATTCGGCATCTACAGCAGCCAGGAACCCCCAGAATAGAACTCAGGGCAGGTCTGCCTGAGGTGGGCTGAGCAGCAGCTGCCACTGCACAGACTCAAGGGCCTGAGCGTATGGTGGCTGAGCTGAACCCATGTCTAGGTCATAGCCCAGTCTTCCATGACAGACAGGTCAGGGTCATTTAAAGTCTGGAAAGAAAAGTCTTGGACACCAAAATAATTGCATCATTTTAAAAATCGTCAACAAAGTCCTGACGAATGGTTATTGGTTTAGCAAGATGGTCCTAAATTGGGTGGATTGCTCTAGTAACCACAGGTTTTGGATTGAAAAGCAAGTAGACTGCTGGAAAGAGAATTTGTGCTATGGTAATTAAAACTGGGGTTCACAAAGCTCATGGAAACCAAGGTGAAATATTTGAAATACTTCGGTTTAATGGAGAAAAAGTACCCGAAGCCTGATGAAACAAAAGAATGTGTTGTGCTTCATCTACTCAGCTGTCACCTAGCTATGGGAAACAGGACCTGGAAGAGCCCCTCACCACCATCTGCAGGGATGGACTGCAAGCAGAGGGAAGCAGTAGCACGTGGCAGAAGCTCTAGGGGGCAGGGATGCAGGGCCCATGCTACCAGGAAGCAGGGTGAAGAGGGTCGGGGGGCCAGAGGCTACTTGGTCAGCCAGTAGTGAGGCCACTGCAATGGCGGCAAAGTGGTGTGGCCTCAGAGAGCTCCAATTTATGGGCCACGAGCTCTTGCTCCAGGACAAAAGCAGAGGCAACAGAGGGGTGGGGCTAGGGGTGGTGGAAAAACCCCGAGTCTCAGAAACATGTCCTGGACTTGGTCACAGCACAGGGGAGTTGGAAGTTCTTGCAATTCCTGGATGTGAGTCATTCATCCTCAGATCTGGAGGCTCCTGCGGAAGGACAGACCTGGCAGAAACATCCAGGGCCACAGCAGCTCTTCTTCCAGCTTCTGGGGAAACACGTGGCCTCTGCTAGGACCTTGTTACCTGGGGAGGGGCCGCCTCAGGCTCAGAGTATGGGGCACTGACACTGAGCTGATGCCACTTACTAGATGCTGGGATTGGCCCTGTGATGAGTCCACCTCCCAGTGAACACAGTGAGCTTGTGAATCCATCTTGGGTTAACTTCTTGGTTCTTCAGTGTATTGTTCAAACAGGTAATTTCAAGCTGCTGGCTTATTTCATGCTATCTGCTGACTCAGGCATGGGTTTGGGGTGTGGGAGAAGTCAACAGAGGCCTCTGGAGCTCCCCTACTATATCAGCTGAGGAAACACCAGCTACTTTGATGAATAAAAGCCCTAAATCTCAGTGGCTTAACAACAGAAAAACAATCAAAGCCAAATCCAGTTTCCACATGGATAGGAATAGGTGTACTTCCACTGTATAGTCATTTCAGAATTTAGGCTAAAGGGACCACTGCCATTTTAAACTGAAGATTAAGGGATTCCTAGAGCTCCACAGCTTTCCAGAAGGAAGATGAAGACAGAGTATACAAGATGGAGCAACATATTTCAGAGGGGCTGTTTTAGGAGTAGTATACATCACCCCTACCCAGATAGACTCCCAGACCCTCCCTAGAGGTAGCAGGCTGGGACGCCTAGACCTTGGCCAAGTGGGATGGGCCATCTGCAGAGCTGCTTTCTGACTCCTTGGTTTTCTGACTGGCACAGAGGGCTACTGCACAGGGAGCCAGTTTTAGGTATTATTTTTGGGGAGAGTGTATTTCTTTTTGGCAGAACTGGGGATTGAACTCAGGCCCTTGTGCTTGCCAGACAAGCACTTATTCTACTGAGCCATCTCCCCGGCCTGAGGAAAGTGTATTTCTAGAATGCCAAAGTAGACAGTCTTAAAGTAGACAGTCTTACAAGTGCTTGCCTGGCAAGCACAAGGGCCTGAGTTCAATTCCTGGTTCTGCAAAAAACAACAACTGGCCCCCCCCTAAAAAAAACACAATGTAGACAGTCCTTTCAGTCTTCCCAGTGACTGTGTAGGCATTCACGCTCGCTTCCTGTTCACAATAGCGACATGTGGCTCTGTAATGTGTACCAGAACCCTGACTTTTACAGGGATCACTTGGGGGGGGGCTGCCATTTAGCTTAGTTGTTTAAGTGCCTGCTCATGCAAATGCAGTCAGGTACAGGATACCACAGTTTGGTTTGATCCCCACCTCCACCTGTACTACCAGATCTGCCCTTAAGGAAGCCTGAGCTACCAAAAAAAAAAGAAAAAGAAAAAGAATCATTCTCAACTTTTAGGGCCCAGGGAGACAGCTCAGTAGAACAAGTGCTTGCCTGGCAAGTGCAGTGTCCTGAGTTCAATCCCAGGTATTGGAAAAAAAAAAAAAAAGGGGATCACTTGGGAAACATGATGTCAGAATTTGGGGTA